TTTTCTTCCAACGTCGGCAGATGCTCTTCATACCATCCAGTTAAGGGCACCATCGATAGTTGAAGTGGAGGACTGGCCAGGGTGGAAGTTGGGCACAAAGTACACGTTGGACCCGGCGGCCGAACGCAGTGCGTTGACATCAAGACCATCACCCGCAAACGAAGAAGCAAACGGGCGATTGTCGACGTATAGCTGGGCCGGCAAACTGGCATACTGGGCGATTTTTTGTCCAACGCCAGCAGCATTGCCAGGACTCCACCAGTTAAAGTCGAAGGAGATGAACACCTTCATGCCGTTTCTGTTGGCAGAGTCATAGGCATATCCAAGCTGCTGGTCAGTGTAGCCGTCAACGCCAATGTTCAGAGCAAAGGCGTCAATGCCAGCGGCTTTGGCGCGTTGCATATCATCATCATAGTCGGATGAGCTGCCACGGTCACCAACAATGCCAATCTACAATGAGTTGTCGAGTTAGCTGAGTTACAGATGGTTCACAAACGACTACCTACCATAAAATGGCAAAAGACAAGGCGATCAGCAGAAGAGGCGCGCTCCTCTAGTGAACGGATAGCGACATTGGCGGGAGCAGCACTTGAGAGAGAAGACAAGGCTGCAGCGGCAAGGGCACCAAGCCCGAGACGGCGAACCAAGTTCAACTTTGGCAGCATTCTGAGTACGAGTGACAAAAAACAAGGCCTATGGACCTACAGGTCTGAGTTTCACGTCGATTATAGGGCCCAATCGAAGAATTTATACATTTGTTGAAGCTTGTAGGGCTCGATTCATCACCTGACCTCATACGAAGCTCTTGATGAGCTATACAGTACTTCGTAACATGGATGCATCTTCCGAGATGATGCCGATGCCCAAGCAAGCACAAGCTGAGGTCTGTGAGATCGGTCCGAACATATCTGCGGCCATCTATGGAGCGTCTCATTCTTTGGTCACCTATAACTTGCGTCTATAGCATGCATCGATGGGCATAGTTTGCGAACGCTAGTTGCAAACAGGCTACTCGTGAGATGCACGGCTTACCTAGCTCAGACGTATAGTAAGTAAGTACGGTAATTGAGAGCTGGCCGCGTTTTTGAGCGAGCCCGAATAGGCTATCCATGGCCTAGCTGCGGTGATATGTCTGAGCAGGTGTTTACGAAGCTACTACAATTAAGCTTAGGAGTTTTCATAAGCTTCTTATAGAGTTGTATGGGGCCTATGGCCACAAGCACCTCTATTTGCTAACTCGCCGAGCATTGAACCGAGTCACACGGGATTCATGATTCCGTTAACTCTGCTTTACAACGTTAGGAAGCCTGTTTTGACATATAATTCGTTGGATTCTAGCAATTGGAGACGGCAATAACTCCCGGATCGGCACCACACCAGAATCGGGTCAAGCTATGGCGCGGGTGGACGGAGGATGCGTTCAAATGGGTCGATCCTCCACAGATGCCAATCATATACACCAGTGAAATTGTCAACGCTACTTTGTACAGTTTTCTCACACCAATGCAGTGATAGCCTCGACCTGGGGTGCTTCAAAAATGCGGTCTATGGCCGCAATGTGAAGCAGATATGTTCATGTTTACCGCCGTCCCCTATTCACAGCCAACTGATTCTCTTCATCATACTATCAGTATACTCTTTGCAGCTAAAAGCATATTCGAGTCACCAGGCATCCGCAGTCAACTCCTTGTGTCCGTATGCGAAGGAGTGGCCGACTTGTAGCTGCCGCTGGAGAAAGATGGCAATAGCACACCGTAATTGCCCCGTACCCCGCGTGAACCCCGCTGTAGCCACCCAGGACGCATGAGGATCAATAATCCTGTGTCAGCCCCGTTGCCCAGTTGAGAGAATAGAAACGATCAAGTAGCTGTATTGGGGAGGTGGGAAATAACTCTTGGATTCCGTCGGCCATTGCAACCGCCGTTAACTAACCAACAACTTGAGTAGAATCAGGCGATAATTGTACCACAAGAGACAGCGAATTGGCCAACCAAAACTCATAATCCCAGTGAACAGCCTCTAATAGGGGTCGCGCCCCTGGCAACGTTACTGTCTAGTGTCGCTTCATATGTAATAAGCTGCGAAGGGGATTTAGACGGAGGCCATTTCTGATTGGAATTCTTCCACGGACCTCGGTTCCGCAGACTTTGTCCGGGGCCCCAGAGCATCAAAATCAGCGATGCTACGCTAGCGGCGCATTGCATCCACCAGCAACAAAACACAGTCGATTCTGTTTCTGCCTAAATATTTGCCCAAGCGATATAGTACTTGCTTCCTCGCTGGTGAAATTTCCGACGGTATATAGCTCCTTCTGAGTTGCAAATAAGATATTAAGCATCCATTGCAGTGTGCGTCGCATTGGTGGGCTTCTGTATCATCATCTGATACGAGGACAAATTAATTCCGACGAGCCATAGATTCGTCGGAGTTAATCCCGAGGCAATGTACTATTTTGTTAGAATAGTTGGAGCAATGAGACTATTTCCTTCTCCATATAATGGGAGTACAAATGAATATGCTTAAACCAAATCCTCGATATATTATAGCGCTGTTTTAGCGTTATATAGTAGTGTAGCTAGCTAGGATTCAACACAAAACGGAAACCGACTAGACAAAGGGGATTTAAGCTCGATAGATACATGTACACCTTGAAGGCCTCTTCATCAAGGGACTCTCTGTGCGAAGACTTTATTCATTAGGCAGTTTGTTACTCACGCTGTCTCCTCTCTCTCCTCCCTTTATTCTTCCCTCTCTAGGGCGATGCTGAGATTGAGTCTAGAGCTGCGCTCAGCACAGACACTAAGTGTGCCAGCAACAGCAAATGAAGCGACAAGAAGGCTACAAGGCGGCTATATTACGTCCAATTAATCTCTGGCGCAGTTGATTTTGGCATCTCAAGTGCTATCAGTTGTCATTGCTACAGAAAACTAATAGCAAAGCAGCCATCGAACGAAGGCCCCTAAGCGAAGCCCATAATTCCGACATTTGCTAGTACTTTTCCGTCTTTCACTCTGTGAATAATTGGAAGCTTTTCGTTTCACGCCAATAGCCAGGCGAATAGTAGCGGATCATTTGTTATCACAACTTGCATGGAAAGCAGCTGACGTAATTCTTAGATTCGTTATGGGCATTTAATGTAATACTGTATCCATAGATGAAGGCGGTATATCTTGCTTTCATGGGAGTACACGCTGAGCTTGCGCTCTTTGTGTACGCTGTGAAGCGTCTCTCGCGATTACGAGAGCACATGGCAATTTGAACGAATCTAGGTAATCACATTCTTCAGCAAAGATTTGCGACCGTAATTTCCTATTTTCTTACAGATTAATCTTGCTTCTGGATTTTGTACAGGAGGAACTAGATAAATCTCAACCTTACAGTAATAACAAAATGAGATGCCGTATAAGAATCCTGTGTCTAAACATCTTCTGGCTGTTTGCTAAAATGAGCGATTGCTCTTGCCTGCTGCTATATAGCAACAAACCTTTCATATATTCAGTATAGGAGTATAAACCAGAATAAAACTCTCAGGATTGTATGAAAGCATTCTTCTTATTGAATAGAGAACCACTAGTATCAATTTTCTTCCGCACGCTTTCTGCAAACGCATACAGCTGTATGTCATTTGCAACATTGGAATAGGACTCAAATACCTCCATCATAAAAGCTGAGTTTACAGTCGAGGTGACTTTAATGCCCCTCCAATATAATGACTCCGTGTTTTGATTTTGAGGTTCTACTAAGAAACAACCAGTGGCGAGAATCTACTGGAATAAAATTGAAGACAAACATCCTCGGCTGCCTTTTCTTGTTTGCTAAATTGGTGTCATACAAAAAAAACCTTTTTTTACTCATTCTCTATAAGGCCCAGCCAGTTGGGCACGCTATATATATGTATGTGAATTTGGAAATCATTTTAACTTCCTCTTGTCTCTGATCATTACCTTTAGCCTTTGCTTTAGTAACAAAGCCAAGACTTCTTATTTCAGATTGTCAATCATTGCTACCGCTTATACATCCCAGGACACGCTTCCCTATAGCCTACATAGTCTTCACACAAACTTGAGGCTCCAAATTTATTCGTTAAGGTGGACTCTTTGTACTATTGTTGCCACATACGGTCACGGTGGTCTCGATAGACAACCTAGCCTCAAAGGGCACATTCCCATTGGATATATCTCAGTCAGCCAATCAACATATACACTTCTACCCCCTTCATTGTGTAGACCTTATAAGCCTCACAAATCTCTTGCGATCATCCCTTTCCTTATAAATATGTAACGAATCCATTTTGATGTTCATTCTTCTCACGTGAAAGGGATTATGAGACATGGGTATTATCACTTGATCACTTTGAACATGTGTGTACAGAAAGTTTAGATCTTTTCCGCACGCAAAAAATACCGCGTTTCCTCATCAACAGGTATGACACATCAACTGTATCATGCCAGAAATCCGGGTTAGGCGCGGTGAGAATAAATAAGAGCAAGATAAAAGTGTCGAGCCCGGAAAGATGCATGCAAAGCTCAGACGTACGGTTCGTCCAACGTACCAGATCATGGGCGTTATTGACCCGTCCCCGTTCACTAGTCTAAGCTTATGCTATGAGAGAACCTTTATGGATTGCATCACTGATAAGAAACCAGCATCTATAATCTATCTCCACCTATTTGCAAGGCTGTTGGTCCGATATTCCACTCCCAATGGTGCGATGACTGCCGATGGCAACCAAGCTAGCATTTATGAAGTTTAATAATCGCTACAGGACCGCAGATATCAATTTCTCCCGGTGGGATCTATATTGATTGGTATACGGACATGATCTTGATAGTGAATCGAAGCATTGTTGATCTCTTGAGTTTCCACACTGCGAGTTCCGAGCAGAACGTATCCAATTGAGCGCTTGACACATGGTACTAGATAGTTCCCGGGATTAGACAGACAAATCATATCTGGCATGTCAGTGTTACATAGCTTTCTAAAGTCATATGGACTTCACAATGGCTGTCTTCTGCCGATCAGATGACCAAATCTACGAGAAGGGCCGGGGTCAAGGATTTGAGAGACACAGAGCCTTTTTCAGCAATAAAACAAATAACATTATTGCTATGCTATTACGAAAGTTCAGCGGGAGTTGCAGCGTTCCTTGATACTAATATTTACACAGTTTACTGCAACTATGGTGCGCACGGCGAAACTAGGAATTGCACCAAAGACATTTGTCGTGATCCAGTCTACCCCGAGCCCAACGATCCCACCGGCTGTCACAGTCAGCACCAACGCGGCATCTTCAAGCCCGCTTACCCAAGTCAGTATCATATCATATGCTAGCGAGTAAATAGATCAATGATAAACATATGCTCAGCGCCAATGTGAGTAGAATATGTTGCCCTGACCGCAGCTTGATAGCTGCCGGAGCTTGCTTGCAATTTCTTTCCTGTCTGGCGGCGGCTCCACAACCACCTTCCCATCCCACACTGTCCGAAAAGCGCGGCTGAACGATATCTTTCCCCTTTGTGCATATACCAATCCTGGAAATAATTGAGACAACATCGCTGACGCCATTTTCCCTTTTAGTGAACGAGGCTACCCCAACGTTTCTGAAGCATGGCAATCGTTTCGCGTCCTATTGCACGGCGTTTCCGCTGCTTGTACAAGGCACATCAGCTACCACACCGATATGGCCGGCTGTTTTCATGCGCATCAAAGAAGAGAGAATAGCGGTAAGTAAAAACACTGTTGGCTTCTTACATTCTTACAACTGAGTCTATTAACCCTTCTTTGACCGTCACAGGTGTCGATATGCACATAGTTAGATATTCTAGCCAACGTGCTTCTCAGTACTCTCACCCAGAAGCCTTTACAGATATTACAGATTCGATTACGGTACGCCTAACTTTCCCGCTAATAAGAGTTGGGATCTTGTTACCGGTGTAAGATGGCAGCTGTGTACATTGAAGAGTAAAAGCAAAGATTTAGGCTGCAAGAGATCTTTTTGGTTAGTGCAGGGAGACTAGATAATAAAGCCTGATTCTATATCTAGTGCCTGTTTAGCACTGCCGCTAATATTATATACTGAATAGTAGCTGTTTATAGCAACATTAATCACTTGCTTTATAAATTTAAATTTGTAACTTATATCTAGCCCATTGTACAAATCCTACTTGTGTTTTTATTTCTTTTCACCTCTTATACACAATATTAAAGCAGAATTTATATAATATGCATATATACATGCATATTTATATGCCTTATATAATAGTTAATAATATAGAATTGTTTGTAGAACTGTATTAAAAAGGTTATAATATACTATGAATAATTATATAAAATATCAACTGTATTATTATACATGTAGTGAAACTTATATGAATCGTAGAATACATATTCCATATAATGCTTGAAACTATTGCCTTCTAACCCAGTTCTTCTATCATCCCGTATCTTACAATCAAGCTAACCCACTCTTTGCAATCCTACTAAAATCCAACTGTATCCCCGACACTCAGTAGATAATAAATCTAGCTACACCCATAATGCGGTACATAAACTATTATCCTTTGTCAACACCTTCATCGTCCAGCGCGCAATCATCTACATATGGATTCCGGTTTAGCACACAAACGGCGACGCTTGGCCCCAGCTTGCGTCGAATGCCAACGACGAAAGATCAGATGTGATAGCGCAACGCCTTGCGGTCCTTGTAGCAAGCTCCCGAGCCCCAGATGCATCTACAGCAATGTCCATTATCATCCCTTTCCACACGGCGACTTTCGTTCTTCCAACGGCACACGACTCGATTTTTCTCAACTAGCAGATATACAGTCTTCTGGGCGCCTTGATCTCTTTCCCCTTGAAACGACGGCGCACTTGCGCGACGACGTTGGAGATCTCGCCACTTACTTGGGCCTTGACGACGCACATTCTCGAGTTGCACCATCGCAATCAACAAGAGTCTCGTTCCCAGATGCGAGCGCTTCAAACTTTTCCGATGCATCTACGGCAGTTTCCAGGCAGCTATCGACGCCAAGCGAGGACCATACTTCCTGGTCCTCGGCGAATTCGATTTTTGACCCAGAGCCACAACAGCAGACTCCGAGCGTCGCCACTCATGGACGAATAGCAACTTGCTGGGAAGAAGCGATGAATAAATGCGAAAGGCTCCAATTTGTGCTACACGGATTAAGGAATAAGAGAGGGCCTATACAACTGCAATCCAAGCATGAGCCATTGAGACCGCTAATGGACAAGTTTGTCAAGCTCGAGCGTCAAGTAAGAGCATCGAAGCACTCGGCGCCTAGCCTGTCGCTCAACTGGACCGCAACTCCCGAGTTGCCCAATTACGCGGTGAAAAAGCTGCTGCCGCCTCAGCGGATATGCGACATTCTCCTGGATGCATACCTTGGCACCTTTGAATCGGTACTGCGCATCTTGCATGTGCCCTCATTTCTTCGCGACTACGGACGGTTCTGGGCGGGCTCCTCGTCAACATGGTCCCCTGAGATTGAAGAGTTATTCCTGTGCAAGCTTGTGATATGTATTGCCCTGGGAGCTTTCGTCAACCCTGAACTGGATACTGCTGACAAGACCGTCTCTGAGCAAACCCAAGACGGCATCTACTGGCGGGACCAAGCGAAAACTTGGATTGCATACGGCAGGCAATGGTTGGCTCGCAAGGCAATCGCTGGATCACGAGCAGACTTGAACACTGCGCAGATAATATGTCTGTTGGCGCTATCACGGTACACCGGCCCAGTCAATGCCACATCAACCGGCTCACTGTGGTCTCCTGGCGATCATGACCTCACACGCTTAGCGATACAATTGGGTTTGCACCGAGACCCTGCTACAATCGATCCTGATATGCCGGCCACCGAAATCGAAGTCCGTCGGCGCTTGTGGGCGACTATGCTAGAGTTATCCTTACAGCTATGCCTCGATCATGAGTTGCCAGCGCCTATTTCCCCAGAAACCTACGACTGTGCGCCGCCATCCGACTTGGCAGACGAGGACGCGAGCACCAGCGATGCCGATTCAGCGCCATCGTCGTATCTCAATAGTCTTTCCCCCGGCTACCGCATGACGAGGACAAACTTCCTAGTGATCCTGACGCGAACGCAACGCCTGCGTCTTCGAATACTGCACGTCATGCACTCCCCTGGCGCTGCAAAGGCTTTGGACGACACGCACCGGCTCGCCGCCGAGCTGAAGGCAGCGTACTCGACAGAGCTTCGCAGGCTGCAGTCGCTGCCGAAGAAGCCCACCGAGTTCCAGATCAAGCTCCTGGATACCCTCACCTTGCCGTTTGTCCTGGCACCACACGCAAAGTTCGCCGCCCATCCGCTGCCCAGCCCGGCCTGCTATTTTTCCCGCAAGGTGCGCATGGAAATCTCGGCGCTGCTCCTGACGAATCATCCCTCAGGCTTGGCAACGGTGACGCAGCCCCCGGCAGCCGGGCTCGACGAGGTTACTGCTGATGCTGACGGCATACCTGTCTTGCCCTCCAATACGACCTCGTCTGCGGCCACGACCGCCACTACCAGCAGTAGTGCATCCTCTGCTGCGAGCTCGCTAGCCGTTCTGCGCATCCACGGCCAAGGCCACTTCGCCACTCTGCAGTGGCACGCCATTCTGGCCCTCTGTCTCGATCTGATAAGCGAGCTGAAGGACGAGTTTTTCTCTGCCGTCAGCGGGCCCAGCTGGCGCCAGATCCAAGACACCATCCAGGCCTATGTCGCCATCCTGGAGCAGCGCGTCCGGACCTCAGGAGGGGCCACGTCCGCGCGCGAGTTCCTCTTTTGCTCGAGTGCAGCAGCCTACATCGAGGCCATGCTGGTGGGGGACGGAGAGGCTGACCAAGCCATTACAGCGGCAGCCTATGCGGCGCTCACGCTGAGTTGCGACATAATGGAGCAGGGGCTCCAGCCGCGGCGTGGTATCGTATGATGTGGACAGCGGAGCTTTTTGTGCGATGATGACACTGATCGGTGATCAGACCACCTATCAAGTAGACATGCCTGCGGGTGTGCTCCGTCTCAAGTACGTAATCACCGATCCTTCGTCAATCTAATTCTGAGAGCATGCGCTGCGAGTGTGATTCTCGTGCGTTTTTTTTTTTTTTTTCCTCAAGCGGCTTAAAACACAAATGATATGAATCAGTATGACAAAAACTGGGACTAGAGTTCCACAGAAAATGAATATCAAGACAGAAAGAAACGGATATACTAGTACTAGTTTCGACAGCATCAAAAAATATTGTTAGGAAATGCGTAACTTATCATTGTTACCATGAATGGAATTTTGAAATGCTTGTATAAAATACACAACACGGAACTCATTGGCTGAGATACGAGACTTGCATGTTTTGATTACCTAACGTTGAAGTTTGACAGCTTGACAGCACAAGCACAATCAATCTCAAACCGTGTTCTACTCCACTAATGGACACCGCTACTTGCCTAAGAGAGAAGGAGATTTGGTGCAGGAAAACATGCAAATGCAATGCTACGTGGAGTAGCACGATAACCGACGGTAGTTGGTATTAATATGCGAAAGCAATCTAGAGTTGTATTTGTCTACTGGTGGTACTACCTCCTACGTTGGATGCCAGTTTCGAGTTGTCTTGAGTTGAGGTACATCAAAATGTACAATCCTAAAGATAAACCATTACCATTCCAAAGAAAAATAGCTACTTGATAAACTACAAACATAATGGTTGTAGACGTGTAACTACGTAGTTAACATTGCAATTGTACAGCATGTCTTTTCGTCAACGGATTCACCATCTTCTCGACAGCTTGATGCGGGTTATAGTAATGTCATGCATTCCGGGAGACATTCCCATTAGGGTAGCAAAACGAACGCAAAATAACTGTCTTTGGGCATATCAGGCAAACTATGATGATGAGATAACCCAAAACCAGCAGCGTCGCATTCAGTTGGGAATGTGCAGTCATTGGTTACTGTATGTCCTTTTGTCCCCGCCAATCAGATCAAATAAATGTTACCCTGCCTGGATTACAAATACCTAGAATGGATTGCTTCGATATCATATAAGCCAGGCTCTGAAGTCGATTGCGAAACAACGTGCGTGCTTTGCGCAAGGCTAAAGACTATTATTAATACCGACGTACATTTCTCAGCTAGTAGCGAAAAAACCGTGATCGTCGCAAGTACAGAACTTCTAGCATCAAGTATTCCTGTTAGCACACTGTCGACCATGTTACAATTATTATACCGTCAATGGACATGAGAGCGAGCTACTTTTACAAATCCAGGAAAGGGATGACTTTGGACATGAGCACTGGGACCGCGAGAACTGATAAGCGGCTGTATATACATACCTGTATGAGTTACTGATGCGCCGCCGTATTTATATATACCTTCAAATTCATCCCTCGGAAGCATCAAAAATAGCAAACATTCCCTTTTGACCTCGTCCACCTTGTTGTTGCTCTACTGGCACTCGGCCATTGAACCACATTCGGTGGTAATCCATCTTCGTCCATTGCCATCCTAAATGTGAAAATACATCAACACTATTCTCATTGGGGCCAAATACTTCAGCGATTAAGCTTCCAGGAGATTCTGAAACACTTGGATGCGACATAGCTAGTTGAAGAAGAGAGGACGCGTGGGCGTTTGAGTCCGCAAACAGAGGGCCAAATCGGTGTCCGTGTTCGCAGCGACGAACTAGGATAAAACCTGATAGTTCCTCAGTGGTGGTAGATATGATGGCAAATCCAAATGAATCTGGTCGAGGAAACAAAGCCTTAGCCCAGAGTACTGTTCGGTCAAGCCCAGTATGCATGCGATCCAGATCCGCAATGGCACCCGTATCAGCTTCTTTGATATCGATTGCTTTATACCCTTTGGCCAGCTCGACAGCTCTATATTTCGTCGCCAATTCTTGTTCAGGTGTGCACGTCATTATCTTGATCTTGGCCGCTTCAACGAACCCTCGTCTTTCGTATGTTTTAACTTGCTCTTGTACAGCATCCAAACCAACCATTTGGATGCCAATCTCGCTGTAGGCATCAAGCATGGCTTTGAACAGAAGCCCACCCCATCCTCTTCCTTGGTAATTCTTGTCAACTATGAAGAAACCGACCCATCCGGTGCGATTAGGGAACTTGAAGCCTATCACCATCCCAACAGGCTCGGTTGCGCCCGCTGGAATCAATAGTAGCCAGTCTTGGCCATTCTGAGCCACTGTAAAGTGTGTTTGAGCATCCAATTCATGGCGATTCTGGAATCTATCAGCCATTCGTCCCATGAAATAACATTCGCAACTCATACCCATCCTAAATCTTTAATCTGAGTGCAAAAGAGACTGTTGACCTCACCAAGCGAAGTGCTTTGCCGAACCGTAACGCTGGAGCTAGACTCAACAGCGGGCATTGTTGTTCAAGAGTTAGGCGGTTTATCGTTAGAGAAGTTGAACGGCAAAGACTGCTGGCAACAGGTTTCGAAGGCTGCGCATTCTTTCTAAACTAGCTGAGGAAAAATGAAGAGTCGGTGAAAAAAGCCTGACAAGTCGTAAAATCTTAGGTGATGCGCTAATCTTATGTTATCATGTGGTGAGAGCCAATGATTACGCTGTGTAGTTACTAAACATTAAAACCTAAGCGCTTCTCTCTGTTTCGGAATTTATTTTAATGGGGCAATATTCATTTTATGAGAAACTTGAATTATATAATCCAGTCCTCCTTTTTAATGTTCACCTGATATAATCAGGAAAGAGAAATGTTGCACCTACTCGTTATCTATTACTATAGAGTGGCTTGTATAAACAGTAGAATTTTTTATTAGTAGTCACAAAAGAGTTGAGCTGTATAGTCATGAAGTGCTTTATACGGCTTCAACAAGTAACATGTTATTGATAATTAGGTAAATGTTTATGCAGTATTGGATACGTGTATTACATTTCATGACAGCGAATAAGCGCTGTATTTTAAAAATAAGCGCCATATTTCGTATATGATCAGGCATACAAAATATGTACAGCGGGGCTGTACCTAGAAGAAGATTATAGCAAACAAGCGCTATAATTTAGCGAACTAACTTGCTGTAGTTGAATAGACGAGGGCTAAGTACATACAGCTGGTAGAGATACGACAATTGTCACTTCTGCCCTTTTCTAGACGCCTATCACTACCTATACTTTACAATGAATACTTGGTAATACTTCTCTTAAGAATCCCATCCGAAATTTGGGTCCTAATAACTAGATAGCTGTGGCTTTATTCTAATAGAAACGAATAACTTGTCCTCGAAGCAATACCTCGCCGCGAAAACGCGTGTGGATCTAAGAAACTACGCGTATAACCCAAATTCTTGATAAGAGCTGGATTGCCAACTTAGCTCAGCGACGTCCAAGAATGTGAGCGCTGAAGAATGATACAAATCAGCGTATATGGAATAATTGCGCATAGTCCAATAATCCCTCCTTTATTAATAGAAACTCTTTTTATGTTTTCAGTAGATATGTTGTAATCTCAAGTGCGAGAATCAAATCTGCAAACACCGGCATCGAGCTAACTATCGGGCGCGTTGTGCTTCCTGTAAACTAAAAACGCATTTTATTGCATGCATAATCTTGAACTTTCAAGTTTTGAGGAGACCTTTCTTGCTGCGGATGATCCAAAAACCACATGCAGTTCATCTTGCAGGAATATAACCAAATAATATTGCTTTGCATCATTTTAATTCCCGGCCGCCCACATGAGCAAGGTTGAGAATCTCAATGGTAGTGGATCTACAGAATAGGTCAATAACTTGCATAAGGAGCAATTTAAAACTATCACATCGATGCATTGTTTTCGCCTAGCAAACAAGCTTGTGCCCTGGAATAGTTACCCAAGTACGGATTCAGATTCACGTGCTAGTCGGTACACTTTACGCGATTGCCGCAACTCCAAAAGCCACCTAAACCACTCGTATAAGATGCCTAGCCGCATCATGGCCAGGTTGGCAGAGAGTGAATGGATCCTCCTTAAGCATCAAACTGTGGGTTGGAAACGATGGAGTCAAACGTGATTCCCGCATTTTGGATCCCTTACTCCAAGTAGAAAGCAAGTGCATACATAAACATTGAGGCTACCTTTTAGACTTTATTTATGAGATGCAAGGCATCCATATTCCAAAGATTGTAGCAGTGAAATGAGGACCGAAACAGAAGAAATTATAGCCTTGGATGACACTTCCAAGTTCAAACCGGAGAATAATCCTTCTTGATATTTATTCCCAGTCCGGCGAATCCGTCAAGTGATTGCACACCATGTTAGAAATATCTAGGGTAGGCAAGTATGCAAAGCTCTCGGGAAAGGGGGGATTGTGATAGAAACGTGAACTTTCGACATGAACGTTTGATATTGAACTCACATATACACGTGTCGTAGGTGGCCTAGAATGGTCTGAATAATACAATTGAGATCCATGAAAACTTTGGATAACCCATGGACTAGCATGGCAAAAGGCTATGGCAATTAAATACAAACACTAGACTATGAAACGCTCAAATAATTATGTTCATTAATAAGAAAATATATACCCGACAATGGTTGTGGCGATTGCTCGATAAGTCTCGCATTAATTCAGTTTAACATTAAATTGAAAGATCCCTTGTAATTCATCATTTCCAGTAACCCTCCTGGGATTCAAGAGAGTCATTATATCCGCTCCGTGAAGAGTGGACAGTAATCTCTGTCTGTACAATCACTGGCTGCGGCTTTCCGACAGTTGATTCCAACAAGGCACCGTCAGGATCTCTGGTAGTTGAATGTTTACCGCTCACGGGGCCCAGAGAATAGAAATTGCCACGATCTCCTGACGCGTAGCTGCGACCGCTTGAGTTGTTGTGGCCCTTTCGGAACTGTAGTAATAGTATATTGTTAGCAAAATTCAGTTTATCAATATCTGTAAACATGGACACTAACCAATCGCAAGAAGACAGGAAGTGAGCATAGCGTAATGCCCATGGCCGGCTCAATGCCCATCAAGAGACACTGGACTTGGATGGCGTCCAAAGCACCGTCGAAGCCATACGTGGTAATGATTCTGATGACAACCTCGATACAGGTCCTGGGAAGGAAGAGTTAGTCCAAGATATCTTCTTGTGCATTTAGAAAGAAATGGCCGCTTACAAAAAACCAAGCGAGAATAGACCAATAAGCAAACGCTTCTTCTGCTTATCGAGGCTCAATTTCCTGATAACAGGCAAAGGCATCGCGAACAAGATGACATCAGTGAGAAGCGACAGAATATCTATGGCTTCATTCATCTGAATCATTTGTGCCAGTTGTACAGGGTGGGATCTCAATCCTGTTGTCCACCACCACGACATATCCTTGAATATCAAGAGGAAGCCCAGAGCGCTCGCAAGACCGACACAGGCCGTTAGAACGAACATTCCCTGGACGACTCGACGAAAAGTACTGTTTGGTGTACTCAGTAGGCGATAGTAGAGGCAAAGAATCGACAGCTTGCAGCTGTAGCAGGCGCCAACCCACAAGAGGTTGAGAGAGAATGTAATCTTGGACACGGGCTCATCGATGCCAGTAGGATTGTCCAGATATGAGGCCGGCAAGTATACGGCTACCAGTAACGATACGAACAAGCCTGCTGTATGAGCCCATGCAGTAATGGACAAGTAATCGCTTAGCTCAAGCTGTTGATGAGCCGTGATCTTCGCATACAGACGCAAGCCAACGGCGATTGTGGGCATCACCATGAAGATGATGGCGAGCGGTGTTCCGTAGTGGCGCTCGCTCCATAATTGTTCCATGAACTCTCGATCCATTTTGGCGTCCTTGTCGTGTCGTTGCTGCCGTTGTGCTTCAAGGGTTAATGGCTCTGCACCATTGACCGCGACTCTTGCTGGAGTTGTTGCCTTTGCCTGTTCTCGGTAGAGGCGCCACCATTCGGAGAAAATCGTTGACGAGCCGTAATTGAGATGCAAGGGAGAAGGAAGTGATCAGCAGCACGAAGCAGAGAAGAGGATAATATGCATTCGCTACGTGGGGAACGAATGCAGCATTAGAACATCTGATTTGGAAGCCGAGATTAGACCAGCGCGCAACACTTCACTATTGGCGCCAAACCCACCCTTGCCATGGCCCTTAACTTGCCTTATCGCGCTTTTTTTTCAGTAGTATCCTATATTGACCCCTGGATTTACAGTAGATCGGTTATAGAGGCACGCGACAGTCTAGTTTGGTCTGGTCCTGATTCCTGGTAGCGAGGCGTCGTTAGTCAGGGGTGATGCGATCAGCCACCAAAATTTGTGCAGTCCAGCATGGCCACTTTTTCTCCAGAATTTGGCTCCAGAAGCATTGATCAGAAGAAAATCTACCCCATAATGCAAAATACGTGTGGCGGCATCATGGGAAAAGATGTTGGCCTGTCCATCCATATTAAAGGGACAAATTGTCCGCGTATCAAAAGTCCAATCAGAGTGCTGATGATGTGCGAGCCCTGCAGCAGAGGGATACATCGGCCCTTAATTCTGTATCCTGGATTGGAACTTTTGCGCGAAATAATGCCGGAACGGTGCTAGGGCAGCAAAACGTGATAGAGACCGAGGCTGGGCACGCTTGGCTATACATACTGGGACATATCTAGCCTCCGATCGATGCGAATTGGCCTGTGTCTACTGGAGGCGATGCTCTGCTGCACATGCTTGTGATAGTTAGCTCCGGGGATATCCCCTGTTTTGGGCGGGGCGAAACCTGAGTTGCTGCGGCTGACAGAGCGCCTTCCGGTGCTACAGATTGGAAACTGAGCTAGAGTGGTTCGTGAGGCTTCCGGGCTCGGAAATAAAACAACGTGAAAGCCCCTGCATAAGCTGTGCCAAGACTCTGCAGGATTCATTGTCTGTTGGTCGAGGGTTCAACTGCATCTGGACTCTCGCAGCTACTACTTGTAGTATTGGATCAGCCTCTTGCGTAGCTCGATGGGCGGCCACTGTCACAAGATAGGTAGGTATCGAGGAAGCCAGTGCCGTAGCTTCGGTGATAATTGTCTCAAAAGAGACGTAGCCGATGTCGGCAGCCAGTGGCTAATTGATCTACAGCTTCCGGCTTCCACCCTTCCGGCTTCCATCCGTCGCGTATCAGTCTAGTCAGTGTAGCATGTCAAGTCATTTCTTCAAACGTGCCCCATTCCGCTATAAACCAATCCGCCCGCCGCTCGAGCTGGGTCGCTGGCTCGATGGTCGAAAACTAGCAGAAGCAGCTGGAGATTGGCCCTCTGGGCTACTGACCCCATAAATTCATCAGCACTACTCCATAAACTATGCTTTCTAAAACTCTCGCTAATGTCAGTACTTTGAGGCAGCGTGGATTTGGATGGAGTTTTACGATGGCCTTATCATGCGGGGGATGAAATCCGTTCGATAGCCGGTCCACATGGCTCTTCACTCATGGCGCCACTTTCATACATGTCCCCTGCTTATCTGCTGAAATGCGATGCCCTGACATATGTACATACATACGCCACATGGTAACCAGCTCAGCTCGCTAACTAGCGTGCGACTGGTACAGCTCCAAGAGCGAAATGGCGAGCTGGCTATCGATTACTTGGCAACCCGGACAATCTATGACAGGCTACTGTTAGTAGTGTTAATCATTCAAATACGCGCAGCCATGGCGTTCGCCATCATTGCCCAGAACCCTTTCTATTCTATTTTAGGCGTCAAAGTGGCTACGGCAATCACGCTAGGCATGGCATGTATTAAAATTGCAAGCACTTGTCTAATTTATTGCTGATTACTTTCATTTTCAAACTGTTACGTCTTTTTAAACGCCTTACTATGGCTGCCTAATAAACTTGAACCTGCCTCCGAGATGTTCTACTAGACAAACCTTGAGTACTCGCGGTTACGCTGTGTTCTAACGTATCGTGCAGCATCACCTCACGTTGTTTGACTTGTTTGTCCTTGGGTTGAGCAACTATTAGTCGCATAGAATCTTTACAAGCCTTTCGATCGCCACCCGATTTGAGGATAGCTGGCCATTACTGCCTGATTGGCTAGGGCCAAAAAGCTTCACTGTCTGTGCAGAGCGCAAACTTAGAGTCTACAAGTAGGGTGTCGGTAGATACAGAAGTATACACAACATAAAAACTCTCAAACGATTTTCAAGACTCAAAACATTTCCAATTGTGTTCAGCCGCTCCGGGCATAATATGATCGACTACAGATTCGCAAGCTATCTGCACATATATAGAACTAGTAAGTAATCAGGGGGGCAGTCCACAGCAGTATAGCTGCGTTAACGGCAATACTGAGATTCTATTCTCCAATATATTACACTCCTGTGTATTATGTAACAACTTACTTATTCCTTCTTCTTCTTCTTCTTCTTTCTCTTTTTGGCATTCTCGAGCTCCTCAGCTTTGTCGTCACCTTGGAGAGACCCTTGTCATGGATCGCATCGAGCATGTTACCTTTCTGTGTGTGCCTTTATTTTACCTTTCTGTGGGTGCCTTTACTGTATCATCCGTTCAAGTTGTCATGTATAGCCCTTGTCCTTTTCCACCAGATTCAAGGATGCTGGTTGTTGAGGAATCTCCATTTAATTAGACCGTGCCCCACAGCCATGACGCGTCTTTGCTGTCAAAACATAAAAAGAGACAGCCCCAGAAGACTCTCGCGGTATATATATTGACATCATACAACACTCTTACCCTGCAAGTATATATTGTCAAGGCAACATCACGATTGACTACTCTCATTTTATATTCATCCGCATGCGTATATGCCTTAGTTCATGGAGATAGACAGTTACCTAAATTATCTTGACAGATTCACCTGATTCATCAATTACGGTTTATGATAAGTATAGATATTAGCTTTCGGTTTCGGTTTCCTTGTCATAGTCAAAGTCCAACAACTGGAAACCCAGGAGTGACAGGCCAGTAGCGCTATCAGACTGGTTCCACTATTAGCCACCAACTGTTCGTCCACCCTACAGTCAGGCTTAAACTGCTAGCATAAACACCAGACAGCAGCACGCATGTAATCCTAGTAGACATAGAAGGGTAAACAAGACATCTACTACGTTTCATTTTCCACAGAAAACTGCTACGCAACATAGGCCGGGTCGTTCGACATCTCCAAAAGATCCATCTCTGCTGACATTCGAACAAAACTTTTCTGCATGGTGGAGGATATACCAGAATTCTGGGCGAAATACTGAGCTTGGGCTGTGCAAGAGAGATTACGCTTTGCTAGACGAAATATACCCCGGCAGAATCAGAAGCATGAAACAATGGATGGAAAAGTTTGGCTATGATGGGGATGCGACTCGTACCTTTGAAGCAGAATTACCATGGGGCTTGTAAACCGCTTTCAGCTAAGCTTGACATAGCTTTAGTAACGGTGATTCATTTCTACCGATTTAGCTGAGGAATTTGATGATATCCCGCAATAGTCGTCATGCATAGATTTAGTACAATAAGGGCATAATAGCATAATGTCTTCAACAGCTATGTTGCATAGCGCTGTGTTGTCTATGAATTTAGCCGAGAATGTTACCACGTTCGACAGCCACAAAGGGATTTCTTATATAAGAACAAAGAAAAGTGATTTTGTGAAAAGCAGTTGTAAAACCTCAGCTGCAGTATAGAATTTCCTTTCCACTCAACAGACCACGCTAGTCCTATACAGGCCTTTGTACGTGCCCATCTACCCATATGCTACAACTTCTAGCATACTATGCCCTATAAGGTCAGCAACTTCACAAACCTCTTACATCTAGACAGATTACGAAGATGCAATCTGTAATAGCAAAAAGGTCTAGATGCTTTATTTATACTTAAAATGTATACCATGTATGGCAGTATTATTAAATTTAAGCAATTCGATAAGCTCGTGATGATTTGCAACTTTTGTGACGATCGTCTTTTGGACAAATTTCTCTCTTGGTCATTAGCGGGAATCACCTAGCGCTGCGGCCCGGGAGTATTAATACCTTCCATCCTTAAGAATCGGGCAGAATCCACGGCGTGAATATACCTAGCCACGACAAATCTTGCATACTAAAAATTAGCCTAAAATTGTTGACGCTTGAATTGTATTGTACGGCGGTGTATCCTAAGTATACGACTTAATCTAAAGACTTCGTTTCTGGTAATATGAAATTACCAGGGAATACAAACAAGGCATAATATCTGTGCCAGTTTATCGCTCAAAAGGAGAGAGTCGAACAATGGTAAAATTAAAAGGCTGATATGCTACTGCTCTACTCAAAAGGAGGCGCGCAATTAATACAGCTTTGGTCAAATATTGGTTCTCGGACTTCAAAAGAGGTTGATGGCAAACTGTGGCTTAGTCTCTTACATACGCCGTCGCGCCGCTAATTGCCGGAGTTGCGCGTAGACTGGGGGAAGCCAGAATGCAGAATCCTTGGATAACATTGTCAGCTAACGGAAGGTCAGCTGAGAAATGAATATGAAAACACATTTTGTGATAATAGCCATCAGTGCCAGATTTCCATGACGGGTAAACTGGCTAAATATGATCAACTTAGCCGCTACTCCAGCTTGGAATCTCATCCAATGCCCAATGGGTGTTATTGTAAGAGTGTGGTTGTACCAGTCTTCGAATATAGCGAAAGTGGGCATGGAAATACATTGTACAAAGGGAAGAAATAGCGGGAATAATTGCACTGCGAAAGAAAATCCGAACAGCGAATCAGGGCAGCACACGCCCTAGCAAGCAGGAGTGGTGTTACCTGATTTGAAATACCAAGGACTTGGCTCTCCACTCATTAATACCAAGACGAGCCACAGGGCGATCTATTACGACTGCAAATACTCCGAGTCCCAACTTCATGAAATATCTGGGGTAGGTGCATGATTGCATCGTATGCACTGGTATACAGAACGAATCTATCGTCAAGGTAGCACCTGAGAACATGTTGGGCGTATATGCATTGGGAAGGAGCGGGGCATTCCTTTTACCCAGAGATTGAATACGCTCAGAATGCCATCAAGAAGTTGTGGTGCTGTCTGCAAATTTGATGCAATCTAGTTTATATGCTTACTGTTTAGAAACTAGCTAGTATTACACAACATTCTAGGTTATAACCGTTGTTGTGCCCTGTATATGCTCCTGCAGATAATATGGCGAAAGCAGTTTAAAATAGAAGGGTGGCCACCCAGAGTTCCCACAAAGCTGAGATATGAATCCGTGATATTGACTTTTGCAAACACCCACTAGGGGCATGTGAGAATGGATACTGAGATTATAGAAATCTCTAGGGTAATTGTGACATTGGGAGAGGGAGGGACATGATTTTCATCCACGCGTAAGGCTATTTATTTTTTCCTGGCGATACAAATTTCTCGCCCAATGTATCCGGCAGCCATTTACATGGCTTGCTGTCAACAGCGGCTAGCCGATATTTAGGTTACATTTTAATCGGTACGGCAAAAATGAAGTCTAGCAATGAATTTACCCCGCGCCAAGGTCGATCTTGAATTGCCCCAAGCGGTAAGTACTTTGTACCCTAGGACTAAGATAGATGTTTGATACCGTCGACGCGCTTTGGCCTGAATATTGATCCTTTTAGGATATCATGGATAGCCATCTATGCTGTGCCCTTCAAGGCTTTTGATCTATCATATTCTCCACAGATTCTGTAATCAGGTAAAGAAAAACTACTCATCTTACTTTCTATATCCATTCCACTGCCTAACCAAAGGTGTTGTAGTCCAAAAATATGGTCTTTCGGATCAACGGACATAAATTGACTTCAGGCTGATGAATTGGCAGAATTACTGTTACCCTTGCACGAGTCAGTAAGCAGCAGGGGCTATATGATTGGGCAGAACGAAAAGGGAAATGGGAAATATTTCACCTACTATAAACGCGTGTTCTACCGATTCATAATAAGTATATAAGCTTCCCGTGAAGCTTATGATGCCGTTTCATGCTTCTACCTCACTAAGCTTTTACCTCGTGGACATCCAGACTGTACGACAACAAATAAAAATGGTTGCTTTCTCTCGCCTTGTTGCCGGCCTCTCGGCCGTCACGGCCTCGCTCGCAGCTCCTGCGGAGGTTGTCGAGAAGAGCGTTGAGGAGCGAGGCCCGCATAACTTCTTCCTTGGACCTGATCATCCTCTTGCTCGTCGTACCGCCATCAACTACAACCAGGACTATACCACTGGTGGCACCGTGAACTTCTCGCCGTCAAAAACTGGTTTCAACCTTAACTGGAACACTCAGCAAGACTTTGTTGTGGGTGTAGGCTGGCAACCCGGTACCAATCTGTAAGTGATGATCAATTGTCCTATAACATACTCCCAGTTGCTCTGTGCTTTCACTAATCAGGGAGGCTAATCAAATGATACGAATATTGTAGTCCTATCAACTATTCAGGCACCTTCAATGTCTCCAGCGGTCTTGGTAGCCTTTCCGTCTACGGGTGGACCACAAACCCCCTTGTTGAGTATTATGTCATGGAGACCAACATTGGAATCTCCACGGGCGGCTCGCAAAAGGGTACGCTCACCAGTGACGGAGGCACCTACGCTATCTGGGAGAACCAGCGCGTCAATGAGCCTTCTATTATCGGCACGGCGACCTTCAACCAGTACATCTCTATCCGACAATCAGCACGGAGCAGCGGTACTGTAACTATTCAGAACCACTTCGATGCCTGGGCCAAGGCTGGCTTGAATCTTGGCACAATGAACTTCCAGGTCATTGCCGTCGAGAGCTGGAGCGGCAGCGGATCTGCATCACAGCAAGTCTCCAACGGTGGAACTGGAACTGGAACTCCAACTTCCTCGTCAGGATCCACCGGTCCCACGGGTCCCTCTGGCAGCTGCTCTGCCCTGTACGGCCAGTGCGGTGGCATTGGCTGGAACGGCCCTACATGCTGCTCATCCGGATCTTGCAAGGTGTCAAACTCATACTACTCCCAGTGCCTATAAAGCCTATCTTCGAAAGGGGATCATTATCGAGGGTGTGGTAGGTGGAGGTTACGACTAAATGGGAAGAATATCAGAATTCTTGAAGAGATTATCTTCGTGCAAGGAATTGGACTAGAGAGAGCGAATGGTCAATCTTTTGCAGTGCACCAAAGAGATCTATGATTGGAACTCCTCTCATTAGCATTAGCGATTAGCTAATGGACTTTACCTGTTGACTTGAAATTTCCCACTCTGAAAGCCAGCTACCACTAGAGCCTACAGTAGAATAGTGGCTTACATTATGGTGATTAAGTTCAGCATATAATCCCTCTGTGATGTGCCTATGCTGGGATACTGTTGTCACATTTGATTGGACCAACTTCATCTGATCTGTAGCCAAGCTACACTCGTGCGAGAATGCGTGTCGAAACACCTCAAAGGATGTCTCAGTTCAACTTCTGATAGTGGCCTCTTTGGCAAAAAAATGGACCCCGTACCTGATACCATCACTGTGCAAGACAGGATGCTTCTAAATCATCGAAAGACGAAAGCTTGAGTCATTACTTGCGTGCCTTTAGCCATCGCGGGTTTCATGAAGTTAGTGGATAATCGTTGAATACATTGAGCTTCCATTTGAGCACACGCCATACTTTAGTTGAGTATGTCAGGGCGCGCGAAATGTTCAAGAGTATTGCAATATTGTATTTGGGCTAACTACTCTGTTCCTGGTTAAGAGCTAACATAGCCGTATGATACCAAACATTTATTCGTAAAATTCGTGAGCTTCATTGCCCCTCTTTACTGCACAAAGCCAAAGCGAATGGAAGCATTTTATGGTGTTTTCAAGGAGTGGTACGATACATAATTAAACCCAGTTCACAATAGTTTGACCTTGTGGAACAAGTGGAGCATCTTGCTGAAGCAGTGTATCTGAAAGCTTTGAGTGTGACTGTTATTGCATTCGCATCGAAGTCATAGCAGGTTTTGAGAAGATGGCAACAAAGACACATGAACTGTAATTGCCTGGCAAACTCAAAATTATCTTTTACTTTTAAATGCATGTGTAGTATTACTGGATAGCCTATGTTATAATACTGAAAGGCTAGGAAGAATGAGAATTTCCTGAGAACATTTTCTCTCTGCGACATAGAGTAGACTCGATTTGTACCTAGTTATAAATCTTCATTCTTTTATCAATATTTAACAGCAATTCTTGAGAGCTGGCGCACAAATCGGCTAAAGCCTATCCATAAATTTCCTCATTGATGACGGCTGCCGGAATTCCCTCCAAGCGCTTCTTCAAAATAAGCACAGCACATCGAGCAGTACCAATACCCAAAGTCCAACCGGAGCCTCCATGACCATAGTTGTGAATAAGCGGAAAAGTCGCCACCTCATCAGCCCTAACTTTGACATTCCTCTTGGTAAAAGGTCGAAGGCCCTGTGCAAATTCATATTGGGGAACAAATCCAGCATGTAGCAAGTTCTTAACAAAGGAGCCCGCTCGGTTCCACATCATTTGGACTTCTGGCGATTCTGGAGTAAGATTCATGGTACTGTTATTGGGCTGTACAATGGATCCAACATATAGAACGTCGTCATTGCGAGGGACAATGAAAACCGTCTTGGTGGGGTGTTGGTTGCTATCCTTTTGTGCAGGAACCAAATATGCATCATTCAGATGTCTAAAAGAGCCTCTGTGGGTATTTTCAACGCGTCGAACAGCTCCGCGGACGGGATAAACGTCATCATCGGCCGCCACTGTCTTGGCACCGAGGCCGGTGGCATTCACAATGGCATCTGCCCCGTGGTCCTTCAACAGCTGCAAGCCGAGTTCATGCCTGATGTCGGTGTCAATTTTTCGCGTTTCCATGATCGCCCCTTTGGCCGCAACCACTGCCATAAGATATGCCATTGCTTTGTCTGTATTGACAATAGGAGCTCTGTGGCTGTAGGCGCTCTTGAGCTCTTGCCCATTCAAGCTTGGCTCGATGACTTTGTCGAATTGTTTATTCCATTCCAACTTATTTGCTTCCGTCGTCCTGTAATACTTTCTCACATCCTTCCTGAGCGGGCTCTTTTCTATCTCCTGCAGTTTCAAAGCCTCTTCGTAGTTGGGATTATCCTTCTTCAACTGAGACAAGTCGTCCAAAAAGAACTGGTGGAGATTGGTGAATTTTAAACCAAAAGATCCACCGTTCCTCTCATGAGTGTTGAATACCTGCTCGTACTTTTCGTAAAACTCATAGCTCTGCAGAGCCCATTCTCGGTAGTGTTCAATGGCAGCCCAGCCTTTGCCCGGCGACTCAATCTCGGTCAACCCACACCCACCAGGGGGGAATTCCCACAAAGCCCCGGCAACTTGCGACGTCATCCGAGACTTTTCGAAATCTTTAGTCCAGGCCCAGTCATCAGCAAGAATGGTGACACGGTATCCTTCATCCAAGAGTATCCAGGCAATCAACAGCCCACTCACACCACCTCCCACAATGAGTATGTGCTTGGACTCTTTTGTGGGCTTCACCAAAGGGGTACTATCAGTAGAAAGAGATATCTCGGGGTATTCATATTGAATACTGGAATAGTTTAAAGTGTCTATCTTGTGACGTTTTGCTTTAAGAGTGACCACACTCCTTTCGCTAGCGATGTTTGGGACGACTGTCATGATGGCTGTTGTTGAGCTGGTTCTGAAGCTTGAAGCTATGGATAGAACGGAGATGTGGAGAAAAAGAATGAAGGAAATAAGGGTAATTTTGAGTTCCAAATTGTAGAGTGATCACCCTTTGTGATTTGCAATGAGTATAAGAAGAGGAGACGTAGGCTGTTAATATATACATATTTCTTTTCACCTATACATCCCAAATCCTCCAAGCTTATTGCATTCGGAGCAAGTACACCACAAGAATCCATGACCACAACATGATTATATTACTGCTAGGATTATTTTGCATTAGTACCAGGGTGTACATAACATTTGTTCATCATGAAGCTGACGATTGGTGAGAGGGTTCACTGTTTGCTGTAACACCATGACACCATAAGTAGCGGCGCTCCTTCGGTGGCAACAGTTCAGCCGCCAAGGAAAGCTTTGCGGCCTTGCGGCCTTGCGGCTTTGCGGCTTTTAAGTGGAACTTTCGTATTTTTTTTTCCCTTGTACACAGATCAAGAAGTTATAGGTGTCCCAGTTTGAAGAGAATTGCGTATTTGTGGCCGGATTGTCAGTTAACATTCGATAAAATGTGGGCTTATTCAAAGATGCCTGTTTCAGCAGGCCAGGGATTCTTCGGCTAGAAAACTACAACACAATAAACAACGCTCACTTACACCTTTATTTGTTGTGACAGCATCTACAGTAACGCTAAGATTTCACCTCGACTGCTCCTATTTGGGTTTTGGATAGAGTCAATCTATCTAATGCACTTGGAAAGTAATTGTTGCTGGAATGAGAGCATCTAGTCAAGTTCAATTAGAAAGAATATACAGCTAGTATGCCGTTATTGACTTGCATATCAGATGCGGCGTAATAGTTCTCAACCTTGTAGCGCAGTTGATGGAGGGGTGGCGGGGTAACTGCTATTACTAAAATTTCAGTAACGTGGGCTGAAAAAGATTTGCTTGGCTTTAATCAGCCCATATTTGCAGTTATAGGATTCAAAAGCATGATGCTAGCAGAAAACAGCTGCAGGCTAATAAGCAACAACCGCTGATGCAACCCCCGTTGAAGTCGGAGCTTATGTCTCTGCACTTTATACTGCATTTAGAACAGGCAACTGCAACTCGGAGAACGCTAAAAGGCACTAAACAATAATTTTACATAAAAGTATCCTCCTATTTATGCTTCACGTTGTATTAAATATTATCCTCATGTAGTAAACGCTCTTTTTGTATTTACACAAATTAAATGCCAAACTCCTACTCTACTTTGGCAATTTACATTTTTCGGGTAATCTTTTTACTTCCTCTTCTTACAAGTTGAACCCTCCTCACTTGTTCTTCTCATTACGTTTGATATGGGCAATTACATTTCGGGATTCGGCTTTTGTTTACTGGTTGTACAGAAGAAGGCGGCATGGTAAAGGCTGTTAGTCCAAGTCCGGTCAAACCTAGCTCCGACATTCTAGAATCTTATACGGAGTAAAATTCCCGAGTGGAGGCCACTATGGCAAAGGCCGTCGATCAGGGTCGGGCTAAACTCTACCCCGACATTCTAGAACATGGCAACTAAGCATTCAACTGAATGGTGATTGTACAAAGGCCATCAAATAACGTAAGTCGGGCTAAACTTTACTCCGAAAATTAAGAAAGAGATGCTTCGCTGGGGTCGCGCTGCACAAGTACAGGCACTCTAACGTTCATTTCTCGATAAGGTGTTTATCCCGAAGCCCTTGCAAGGGAAGACAATGGCAAAGCAAAGAGAGAGTGAATGGCCACTTCGGGGAGTGCGGCTTTGTCCTAGTTCTAAATTTGGATGGTGCTTGCGAGATTATAACGCTTGATATAGTAAGAATTGGGGGAAAGAATACCCACGGCTTAAAAGAGCAGCTTGCAAAGAGCATTGAGCAGTCATTTTACAATGAGGGGTAGATAGTTATGCGAAATGCAATAATTGTTAGACACTGCCTCTATAAGGAATCTCCGAAATAAATAAGAGGACATCTTGTCTTTAGTTGCGTCTTAAAATACCCTTGCAAACGCAATGTATCCCTAGCAATGATACCCAAATCGCTTGAAGGGGAAAGAGAGTCTAAACAGATTATGATGGGAATCAATTGGAACACTTACATTTCATATGCCATTTAAAAAAGATTTGGAAGTAAAAGGCCCCAATAATGCTTGTACATATAATATTCATCATGTCTCTTAGCTTGCCGTGCCATTTATTGAAATTCTATATATAGCCGCGAGTCCACTCTTGAATTTGCTAGGCACAAAAGCGCTGCTAAAGAGCTGCCTGGAGATTTGCTCATTCATCTGGACCATGAGCAAAGAATTGCAAACATAGACTACACGAAAGATATTTTGATGAGGAACACTCAATTGCGCCATACCAGGAGCGCGCGTCGCAATGATATTCGCACCCGCCATCATCTTTTTATTTATATTTTTTGCGATCATATGCAAGCGCATCCTTGATTCCAAATAAGTAGTACATGGTTGTATCGCTATGAAGCGACCATAGCGATTCTCAAAGCCGGACAATAAGAAGAATTAGGTGATGGGCGTTTGGAAGCAGTTGGTAAGATATACGCAGCGACCTAGATAGACACAGAGAAATGGGTGGCGGATGCCTGCGGTTCTCTTCATCAAGACCAGTTGTGCGGCTCCTGCAATGGTGGCTACTACATGTACCCATCTATCTATGTCGTTACAGCGCATTTCCCTCCCGCCCGTTCCCGGTCCCACGAAACCCCATGTTTTACTAGGTACTCCTCCAGTTATTTACGATCCATGGTATAGGGGCTGCATAGATGCTACGCATACCTCCCCCAGGTGGTCTTTGTGGGGATTGCACCCGCAGTGATCTTCAAACGAGGCTTTTATTAGCAGCGGCAGTAAAACTCACGAAGAGGTAGAAATGCAACCATGAGCCTCGCCCAATTAGGAACCAATGCCCCAAATCCCTCCTCGGGAAGTGCCTGACAAGGTATTAGCGCTTAAAATGAGGACTTCACGTCCATGAGCCATAATAAGCGAACGAGCAAGCAAAAAATAGCAATAATGTGCTTCACTTGCGCCTAGTTTATCGGCCTCACGAGATAAGATCGCAATTGAAGCTTGGTCTTCCCCGCTCGTTCTATCCGGCAATATTCTGAACTCTCATTCGGTACTTTTATCTTTGCATACCTAAGGTAGTGATAGCAAAAACTCAAGCTTTCATAGTTATTGTAAGCATTGAATAAAATCCAGCGCTTGTTTACTATCATCATGTTCTCCATCACATACGCCCTCAGTTTACAAAGCAGCCATGATCTCCTTCCAATATTTTAATTGCTTATCTCAATATTCATATCTGATTAAACCTCAATTCTTGTGTTCCTTCTCTCCAGCTTTGCCGCTGAACAAAGATCCGTCATCATAGGCTTTAATAGTCTTCAGATCAGGAAGCCCCATCCAAAGCAGAAGCTGCACTAGCTGCAATCTCATCGCACTTATTTTCTTCGGAATCCCAGAGCTGCTAAAGTCATATTGTTAAAGGTCATTCCAACAGATCCCAAACGTTCTTTTATTTTTTTTGTTTTTAGATCACCTTACCTTGGCGAAACTTGTTGCGTTGTCCAGCGCGACACTTTATTTGTCAATATAATACAAGAGCCAAAAATAGCCCATCCTAGTGGTATATCGTTGTCCAAAGTAGATAGGATTGAGCCAAAATAGCTTCCTAGGGTGTATATAGATGCCTTTGAGCCTTTTAGCTGGTCAAACATGGCGAAGCCAAGTATACCGATTCGAACATAGAGAAAGCCCCGGTTGGTCATGACCGACGCCCGGTGCAAGGCGGAGCTTCTTAGGATGTAAGCCGCAGCTGTTAAAGGAAGACGATACGGCGTAGCAGCTTGAAAGATGGGCCTCACTATATCTGGATGTCCCTTTTGGTGTCGCCTTATTATCTTCATTGTGCTGGCGACCTGAGCTATGCAGAGGACAATATCTATGGTATCTGCAACTGGCTCGATTCCAGTTGTGGCTCGGGTATAGTTCCAACGAAGAAGCTCCATCGCTGAGACGGCAATGTGAAATAAAAGAACAAGGAGACCTATTTGCTTGGCTGTAATGGAAAACCTTGATACAGCGCGCGCCAAGAATAGAATATGAAATAGAACGGCAAAGCCGAGAGTAATTCGGTATTGAGAAGCCGACGTGATTCGCGCAGCATCATCAATTAATCTTCCTATTATGTTTGAGAAAGATGCCTCCGGTTGCTCCGACATCTTGCTTAAGGGAGAAGCACTATTCCTGCCCGACGCGTATTCCATGGTTAGAATGAACTGGCGTTATGGAATCGCGTTTAGGAAACTCAGAATGATTCGAAGAATGCAGTAATAGAGTATTTGTATATTTAAAAATGCCTCGTGCGAAACACATGGCGTAGATATAACATAGTAGAAAAGAAGGCATTGCATGACTTTTCAAACGCTAGCCAACACGAGGAGGATGACGTGAGATAAGCACATAGGTAAACGACCAAATTCAGGGCGCAAAAAGAATGTCTAGTGCTAGTGGACGAGAATAGGTATTATTGGCGTCTATCTCGCGGAGGGAAAGAATATGTGGTGCGAACGCTTCCAGCCTTTTGCTCCTATTTTTGCTCCTATTTTTCTCTAATGTTCCGGGTAATCTTGGAGGAATATTTTTATAAGAATATGATCTTACCTACCGAATTACTAGCATCCTCTCTATAACATTAGCTGACAGCCAGTGGGTAATACTAAGCCATCTAGTGCAGCCCAATGGTGTGTCCGGCTTTGAGTTTTCCAGATGAAGGGCCCAAGTCATATATCTAATAAAGCAATTCCCAGTTCGAGATCCAGCGAGGGGCTGCATTGCAAAGCAGCGCCAAAGGCAGTAAAGGAAATGTTGCCGAAGCTAAATGAGACTAATGTAGGCTGGCGTGAAGCAGTAATCTGGTTGTTAATAGCCCCAGAATATATCGACTCCTTTTAAATT